AGAGAAATTTATTGAGTATATATTATATAATAAACTTTATTCATAAATGTCATATTTATGTGAATCTATGATCGAAAAGAAATTAAATTTATAGAATAAAACTTACTAATCAATTTGAAATTTGATTCAATTTATAATTGAAAAGAAATTGATTAAATTTATACAATAAAACTTCGTCTAATATGAAAGAATTTTTTCTATATTGTACTCTGTTATATCAGAATTAACCTATTGTTCATCACTTCGCTTATGATTATCATTTTGTAATTTGACTAAAGATTAAAAACCAAAACAGTCATTATCAGCTTGTTTTTTTAAATGTTTTATATTACCATAAAGGTGAACATATTTATAAAAAAAATTTTACTCGAACAATAGTAAGAAAAGGGTATGTGGTGAGCATAAGATATATTAATAAAATTTGTCTGCTGCCTAAAACTTATAACATAATATTTTAACTTACAATTTTAAGTTTTCTTCTTCTTGATATTAAAATAAGTGTTAATCCAAAAAATAGTACGATCATAGTATTATTATTTCACATTGTTGCAAATATTAGCGACGATAAATTTTCAAAAGCTATACATTTGTCGTATTATCCCTCTGATAGAAAACAAGAAAAATTATCAATAATTTATGTTTACACACTTACGAGGGAAGGCCCTCAACTTACGACATGTCAATCTGGCTTCAACTATATTTTCGCCGATGGACGAATTCTTTTATGATATAATAAAAATTTGAACTGCAATTCTATACATATTTAACAGAGACTGAAATCGAATCGAATAAACGAATAATTCGAATTGAATTTTTGCTTAAGTAGATCGAATTGAATCTAATGGAGATTCCTTTATTCGGTTTGCTCCCTGAATCATAAACTCATTGGAAAATAACAAAAAGGAACAATTAAAATTTAATAGTATAGAAATCGTTACAACTATTCAACTATTTGAATATTCGAGTTTTCGTCAGTTCTGTCACGGCTCGCATATCGGGTACGATGTCTTGTCGCCTATCTTTCCTTCTATGGCATCCACATCAGCTGTGATTTCTTACATTTATGTTGTCGTCTATCAGTCCTCTCATGGCATCCATACTAGACACAATGCCCTGTGTGTGAATAGTTGAAACAACTCTTCGAATTTTACATGTATGATTCTTTCAGTTGACTATTGTTTTTAAACTTCGAATTCATTCGATATATTGCTTTATTGAATAACAAGTTGAAACATTTTATAAGTAGGTCTACATATAGTTGATTCATTTCTATATCGTTGCGAGTGATATTCATACATTTTCAAATTGTCAAGTTGAAATTGAATAAGGCTGAACAATGTTTGGATTCTCAGTTATGAATACTTGATGCTATATATTAAGAAAAATGAAATAACTGTTTGATTGAATTATTTTCTTGTTTGAATGTATACAATAGACAATGCTTTGATGAATATATATGTTGCAGCTGAGTTTGGAATCTAGTTGAGATTGGAATCACTTAGTTCACTTTGTTTGTTTAAAAACTTTTTTAACACATATTCAAGAAAACTTGTTTGTTTCTTGTCAAATTTATATTTACTATTACTTCTCAGACAATAAAAAGTATCTTCGTACTGTTATTTTTTGATGAAAAGCCATTAGTCATTCTATTTATTGTTTTCCTCTAAAAGTAAATCTTACTCATCATTTTCCTTATATTGTAGTTACTATATCAGTACTCGGGACATGGGGATATTGAATCATTGGTTGAAACGAAATCGAGAGTATTTAAGTTATTTGTTTCTATAGAATAGATTTTTTTTGAGCAGCGGGACATAGGGACATTGAATCATTGGTTGAAACGAAATAGAGAGTATTTGAGTAATTTGTTTCTATAGAATAGATTGTTTTTCGAACAGCGAGACATGGGGATATTAAATCATTGGTTGAAACGAAATCGATAGTATTTGAGTAATTTGTTTCTATAGAATAGAGTCTTTTTTCGAGCAGCGGGACATGGGGATATTGAATCATTGGTTGAAACGAAATCGAGGATATTTGAGCTATTTGTTTCTATAGAATAGATTTTTTTTTGAGCAGCGGGACATAGGGACATTGAATCATTGGCTGAAACGAAATCGAGGATATTTGAGTAATTTGTTTCTATAGAATAGATTTTTTTGAGCAGCGGGACATAGGACATTGAATCATTGGTTGAAACGAAATCGAGAGTATTTGAGCTATTTGTTTTTATAAGATAGGTTTTTTTTCGATGCTCGTGATATGGGAGGATTGAATGATTGGTTAAATGTTTAGTGTTAGCAAATTTGTTGTTAAAAAATGGAAACTGAATGATTCTTGCTATTTAGAATAGCAGCCGATCTGATGTTGGATTGATTAAGTAATAATTGGACTATAAACAGATTGTTGATTATCTATTCGATAGACTTATTGTGAAAAAGTTTATCAATGTAAGATTGCAGTTTAGAATTAAGAATGCTCACTTTTTTGTAAGAGATTTACATGAAAAATAAATTTATGCAATTAAAAACAAACAGATATAGAATGTGTTTCTTGATTGAATGTACCATAGCAACGAACATCAATCGATTAATTATAAGGAGATGAATAAAATTCATAAAATTCTAATACCCACTAAATAAGAATGGTTAAAAATAAAAAAGTTCTATATGTAAATATGTTAAAACAAATCATAGATGTGCGACCAATCATTTAGATTTGCTAAAATTACAAAAGTTGAATACAATAGTAAACAAACATTAATTATCGTGTGACTCATATTATTAACATGCATTCCAAACTCAACTGAATTCCCATGTCAACTGTGACATATATATATATTAATATTTTTGAAAAATCTGATTGACATCTTAAGAATTGTTCATTCTAACTATGAATATCTTTACAAAGGATACAAGTTTTATTTAAAATAGAGAAATATAAAATTTATTTGAACACCTTCTTAAGTTTATCGGCCCATCCTTGTAATGTAGTATCATTAGTCTGTACGGTTTTTTCTTGTTTTGTTGCGTCATATGTATAATCATATTTCGGTAATGAATCCTGTTTGTTTTGATCTAAACGATCATTTTTCTTATCTTTCGATGATGGAGGCATCAAAAGACCCATGACGCTGGAGATAGCATTCATAGGGTTGACACCATCTTTAGCATTAAACACACCAGCAGCAGCCAATAATTTTACAAGTTCAAATAATTTATCACGAACTTCACTGTCCGCAAGCATAGCAAGATCTTTAACAGGAAAAAAATATAGAATGGTAATTAAAGATTATTTTGAACATATAAATTTAGACTAACTTGGTTGTTTTGTTGGATTATTCAAATCGATATAACCTTTTTTATTCATTGTCATCATTAAATCTTGTACAGCATGCATTATTTTTGGATCTTTTCTAATAGCTTCTAAAAGTGCCATTGCTTTTGGATTTTTCGAAATTTCATCCATCATTTGTTGCATATTTGGAAATTTGTGATAGATTGGAGTTAATGATAGAGGACGAACCAGAGGAGACGAAGTACGATTGAGAGAAACTAACAGACGACTAGTAAGTCGAGAAGACAAAACGGGAACAAACCGACGAGCAATGAAAGCAAACATATTGACAAATGAATCAAAATAGAAGTATCAAAAAACTGTACAAGTTACATCGCATTTCTATAAGAGACTGATTGGTTTGACAGATTAATCCATTTGAAAATGACGATAGATATCGCACTATATCAATAATTGTATAATAGTTAAACTGTGGAGAAACAAACAATACAAATTATAGTATTACACTAATATTTCAATGATTTATTTCAACAAAAAAGATAAAAACAAAAAACAGAAGATCACGCGCGAATTAAAATTAGTTAAAACGAAGAAGAGAAAAATTTTCACGAGTTAGTTCTTTTTGTCGAATGATGTTGTTGAATGTGAATGGTTTGGTGAGGAGAAGACTCTTACTAGAGCTCTGTACATCAGACACCATAATCCGACTTCATTGAAGTCACTGAAAGAAAGTTTTTCGGAGTTAAAAAGTTTGAATCTATACGATTCTAATCTTCATTCTCACATCCACACCCAAATTTTAACATTTTGACGTAATTCAAAGTGCTTCGATGTATTTGAAATTATTTCGAAATACTTGAGCTTGACTTGAAATACACTATTTCCTCCTAGTGAAGTAGTATAATCAAAAATATGATGCATTGAAGTAGACATAAAAGCTTCGCGGAACTAGTCCTGTCCTGTCTTGCCTCAGGCTGAAACGGGACGAGACAAGATCAATTCACTTGTGCGTTCCGTCAAATGTATACGAGGCAGGATTATGAGTGTTCTCGAAAAATATAAAGAAGATTTACAGAATATTTTAGGCTTCTTAAAGGTTCTAACTACGAAAAAAGTTTCTAGAAGGATGTCAGAACCTTTTTTCAAGGTTTCTTCTTTCAGATAAAAGACAGAATGACTTTTCAGAGGCTCAAAATATTCTGCAAAGCCTTTTTATTCTTTTCAGAGTACGCATATCCACACCTCGAAAAATGTCGACAATATATCTTTTTTCCTCGATCAATTACTCGATGAGACATATTTAAAGTTGTACTTCTTATTGAGCTTTTCATTTTTTTATTTTTGTGTTAAAAATATTTACATGTAAATATTATTTTGAAACAGATCCTTAGTAAATTAAATGATTTACATTGAAGAAGAAAGTATAAATTCGTTGGATTTTTTTCAATCATACTTCGAGAAAGAATAGTTACGTGCAAGTGACAGAATGAGCCGGGACAAGAAAGCGCAAGACACGGATGGAACGACTTTTTGGTCATCCTTCAAAGCTCTGATAGACATGGTTTATTTTATTTATGAAGGTTGTAGTATACATATTTAAGAAATTTTTATTTTTGGATCATCTATATATTTCTTCAAAGGCAAACAAATTCAAAAAAACGAATTCCTTGTTTTTTATCAGCTTGAATAATAATGTGCTATATTTAATTTGTTTGTTTATCATTTATTGATGGTTTCTTGACGAATTCTTTGTAAGTACCAAATAGGCGATCAAAATCAATTAATGGTACTCCATAATTACATTCAAAAAATGCATGATGTAAATAATGAAAACCTGCACCACCAGCTGGATCATCATAACCATCATGACCACCAATTGGTGCAATATCAGCATGAAATTTTGCATAAAGAAAATGAAGTGGATGACATGAAAAAAGAAGAGGAAAATAAGCACATGTATAATAAACAAAATGTTCAATTGGATGCATAGATAATCCAGACCATGGACCAGGACTACGACTTTTATGATGAAGACTATGAACATGACGATAAAGAAATGCACCAATATCACCTTGACGTAATCCATTTTGAACAGACCACCATGGATGCATAAAACGATGAATCTATTTTTTTGAAAAAAAAAAAGTTAATATAAATTTATAATTGAAAATAAATTATCTAATTTTACCCAATAGAAATGAAATTCTCTCCAAAAAGTAACACCCAAAAGAATAAATATTGAAAAAAATGGTCGAGACCAAAAATCATTATAATAAGGTAATCGACCACTAGCCCATAACCACATAAAAACACATTGTACAAAAGCTGATTGTAACCAACCAAGTGTTGTAAATGTTATTTCTCTTAATAAATGATGTTGATTTTTTTCTTCATATTGATTAATTGGATTAAATTTTTTTTCATGTAATGGTCCTTGAGGGTATGGACTTGCACGTGCATAAGTCATCCAATGCCAAAATGAATAAGCCATAAATTCCCAAGCTAGATTATAAAGAAAAACTCGTGATACCCATTTAATATGCCATTCATTTGCTTCAGGAAATGTTATTGGAAATATCCAAAACCAACATAAAAGTGCAGCACTAAAGTCAAGAGCATGAGCTAAATGACACCAAATAAGATAATCAAATGCTTTTTTTTGCCAATAAGACCATTGTCCATACGTTTTGAATACCAAAGGTGTTAAATGGTTTTTTTGACCTGTATGAAGACGATGTATTCCAACGATATTACGAATACCAAATGTCATTCTAATTATATTGATTATTATAGCAAATGATTTATTTTTCAAAATTTATACTATTCTACTACACTTTTTTTTGTACTTTTATCTCTTTAAGTAATCTAAATGAAGCGTATGTCGTTCTGATGATTTATCATCAGATAGTCTTTGTTTTTTTTTCACATCTACTGTAGTTAAGATAAAAGTAATAATACAAGTCACATGCATTCTTTTTCTCTTTTTTGATATGTGCAAACATTGCCTCTTTGATGAGACACAGTCAAAAAAAAAAGATGTTAAAGTATATAGAGTAGAAATATAGACTCTCTATAGGTCGTAACAGACTCTAGACAGAGATTCGCAAATCAGTGTGTTACACCGCTTCGCCGTGTGACGAGGCAAGTTTTTTGGCAATGAGATGAGTATGAGACAGTATGAGGTTTGACAATTCGTTCCATCTCCTTACGATATGCAATTTTTGTTGAATAATCGTCAATTCTCTGACAACATCTGTCAATTGTCTTGTAGATATTTTGTTAAGTGTTAACATTGTCACTAAGGAACGAGAATACATATATATATATGTCGAAGACCAATCTAAGATTCACCTAGGCCAAACTGGAATGAATTTGTATAATGACACATCTGATTTCTAGTATAAGGTTGGCCGATGTTATAAGTGTACGATCATTGGAAGAGACGACGAAAGAGTTGTAGATTGTGAATAAGGTCAGATTTCTCAATTGTCTTTGAGGGTGGGAGGAGCTGAAAATTTAGTAGATATCGCCTTTAGTCAACTTTCTGGCAGAGATTGAACTGAAGATGCTGATATCATCGGTTTTCTGTGATATTGATCTGAGAAAGAGTGTCTATGTATGAATATCTGTCAGAAGCAGAGCTAAAATGGCTAAAATTTCCAGTCTACCATGATTCCTACGAAACTGTAAAAAATTTTGCAGAAAGTTGAACTTTTTTTGGAAAGCTAGTCTCCCCTCCCATCCCTGCCTAATCGAAAACACTGAATTAGATTTGAGATGTTATTCGAATATAAACAATAAACTTGGGTGTATTCAGGAAATTATGGATGAATGGTAAACAATGAATGTTTTCGTGGTCTCATTTATTGTACATCATGAACTTGTACGTGTACAACTGACTGCTTTACACGATACATCGACAATAAATGCACCAAGATTCTATGTTCGAGGCGCTATCAACGGCCTCTGTTGTTCATTTGAAGAGGAATGAAAACACCAACCGATGGGTTTGTGAAAACAATCGAGTTTTCTGCTTGATAAAGTGTCATAAAAAAAACAACATTTGTTGTAAAAACATAGAGAAATGAAGAAATTTATTGTTTATTTAATTGATGCTTATATTACTTTCTACTATGTTATGATATTGACTTAATACGGGTCAGTTATCGTTTGAGTCACTAATTACTCTATCTTAGTTTGACCTGGGTGAATCTCAAATTGGCCTGAAGACATCAAATATGTTAGTATAGACTAGACGAAACTTAGATTGGCCTATGACATATATATTCAGTCTAATCTACTATTTTTATCTCTATAATTGGCAGTATACCCCGGTTTTCCTCTGAGAGTCACTTAGATAATTTACAATTTAAATTTAATTCTAGATAGGTAGTACATGCACACTAAAGTTGTCTATTCCTTCACTTGATATTATCGGTGTAACAGAAGATATTTGTTCAACTGTTCATTCGTGAAGTATTCTTGAAATGATTCACAATATACTTACTCATTTGTAACCTAGATCCTTGGCAAGACGGTGACGAGACGAGTAGATATACGATCACAAACTGTATATCAATAATATCTCGTTCTAATATTTGAACTACTTTCAGTTTTGATGTGTAAAATAAAAATTAATCAGCTTCAAGTAAAATTATTCGAATTTGAAAACCTTTGATGAGTAAAGAAATTAAATGAAAAATTTCTTCGTAATTATTTGTTTTTTCTCTTTGAATCAACGAATTATTTAGGACTTAAAGTTACCCGTATATATGTTTGTCATAAAATGTTGACTTTAAAAATAATATCATTATTAAACTCATTTTCAAGGATTGAAATTCTATTTTTGTTAATATTTAAGTTGTATCTAATATAATATTGCTTGAGCTATTGACTAATTTTCATGATAATTTGTACACATGTCTAAAGAAAATGTAGGAATAGTTAATAATAGATTTTATGTTTTATTTTGTTAACTAGCGATATTATTGAATCGAATGATTAATTTTGGAATTCTAAAGTAGAAAAATCAAAACATAGATTTTGAATGCATAAATAAAACATGCATATACAATGTTTTTGCAAAAAGTATAATACACATAAGAATGTAAATAACTGCACAACTCTATTAATAATATTTTTTGAATTAATTATTTCTTGATCAATTTAACTTACAATTTGATAATATAGATGAAAACTTCTATAAATATATTCATTATATCGATTTGTTAAAGAATCAAGTGCATTAATAGATACAACTATACGTAATTTACCACTTATATCAATTTGACCAGATTGTTCATTAAATCGAAATGGTTGTTGAATACCACTATATTTTATACAATAACGATTAATAAAATAATTTTTAATTGATATATCTTTTTTAGGATTAGTTATATTTAAGATAGATGATGATGCACGTTTATGACGATGATTATCATTGTTAATAGATTGTATTAGAAAATTAGAAAAATCAAACCAAATAACATAAACCATAAGAAAAAATAAAAAAAAAAGTAAATTTATATAAATTATTTGTAAGATGCAAGTGATATTCATTGTATGATACGCAGTTGGAAGCAACATATAATTTAAATGAGACCAAAAAAACATAAATAATGATCTTTCGATTATTTCCTAGGCGCTTTTTATTTTGTAGATGAAAATTGAGAGTAGACGTCGAATTAAAATTTAAATAAAAAAAAAATCATACTTTTAAATTTCAAGAAACTTTCAACAACAAAAAAAACAAACAACAACTATTTAATCAATTACTAATGCGATGAGTTGAGGGTTGTTTGAAATCACTTTCAAATTGTTGACATATTTTCTCTCTCATGAAGGATGTCGGCTGAAGAGTAAATGCTGATTTTTAGTAAGATAGATCTTTTTCACGATGACTTTGATCAATTCATTTGAAAATTTTAATGCTATCGCATTCAATGAAACCAAATTATTGCTACAACATAGGTTCACTATCTGAGGTCGTGCTAATTGCAAAGATCTTGACTTATGCATTGCAGGGTTTTGATGATAATAAGATAAACACATGAGACTGTCTTTATTAGTGCTAGAAACAAAACAGTAGGAGTACTATCTGTTCAAAAATATAAAGGCCACGAGTATTTTTGAAATAGTTCAAGAACAGAAAAGGCTAGAGAGTGGTGGTTTTCACCATGACATACGTAAATGAATGCTCTATATATTCACCAAGACATACCGAAAATTCTTTCAGACTCAGGATTTCGTTATCATCAATTTTGTAAAGAGTTTATCATGACTTTTTCAAATTCCATACGATCTATATGTCTAAGCTATGCAAAATATAGCCCAGAGGTTCCTCTACAAAATGACACAATATGGACCTCTCTAGCTATTATAGTTCAAAAACAATGCACCTTTTTCTAGGTCTCCTGCAAGTGCTTTTTCTATATATAAAATAATTTACAAGTTCATACAACAAAACACACTATGTTAATCATGGTTTCGTTTGTGAGAACCGTAACAAAGTCTTTGGAAGATTGGTGACGGCAAAACCCTGAATGTGCAAGGATTTCCAGCATGTTTTGATGAAAATATAGAGCACTCATTTACCTACGTAATGGTAAAAATCGCAGCTCACTAGTTTTTTTCCATTCTTGAATTATTGTAAAAATACTCACAGCCATTATATGTGTGGATCAATAGTAGTTTGTGAAATAGCAAAATGACAAACAAACATTTTTTGAGTGCATATTTCTGCTGAATTTTTTTTTTTTCACTAAATAAAGAAGATATGTGAATCATAGTTTCAGTACATGTGCACTGATGGAGAGTAAGTTTATTGTCGCGTACATCCATTCAATATGTTAGTAATAGTGGCACTTCATGGACGAAGGGGTAGTTACTTTTGTTCAACACTATAATGAATCGATTAGGTCATCAATTATTATAAAAATAACTATACGAATGAATGAATAAGCTCAAGATTTTGAAATCATTATTCATTTTACTCCATGTTCAATAATAAAATGAAATCTACTTACAAATTAGTTAAATTAGCTGATGAGTCATCAGGTGTGACTACAACACATTAGCATTTATGATAAAATATTAAGTGAAAATTTATGGTCTAGCAATAGAAGAAGATTATATGTTGATGTATTTCTGGCTTGTTGTTTTGATTAATTATTTTATTCGATAGAAATTTCGTTGGTTTTGTTTAACTTAAAGATGTTATCAAAGAATATATCAATCATGTACAAATAAGTACTTCAATTAAATTCATCCGATACATGAAAAGTGATTAGAAGCTAAAATGAATTTGAAGATACTTATACATTATCTATAATAGCATTTCAAGGCTTTTTTTAAAACTTCCATTTGTACTTTTCTCTTTGCAGCATCAGAATTTTTATTCTTTGTAGAATGTGTAAAGAAAATAAAAATCTCTATGAAAATTCAAGTTTGTGAACAATATAACACAATTTCAGCAGAGAAAAGCATCTTATGCATTTCATTTAGCAGATATTCATCGAGACAGACATGATGTTCTTGTTCGAATAAATATCATACTAAGCCAAATATTAGAACATGTGGGATCAACAACTATCACAATATAAATGATAATATGTTCAATTGAAGTATCAGTATTTGAATAAATATGTATCATTTTTTCTTCTGAGAGAAATTTTTATTATATGTAACGTACAATCATTTCAAACCGTTGTCTGAGTTACAGAAGTTTTTGTCTATTTTTCTATTGATTATTCACGGTAACCACGCCAAATATCACTCTCTCTTTTTTTGTGGTTAAATCATAATGTCGAGAAATGCATCCTGACAAACATGAGACTATAGAATCGTTCTTTTTCTTGTAACAAAAAACCAAGTAATGATGCACTACAAATAGATTTGAACGTTATTATTTTATCTTCATCATCATCTGAATTTTGAAACCTTTCCTCTCTTTCCCCGTTCTCTGGTAATCCAATATTCCGGTCAAGCTGATGTAACAATAACAGAGAACTGCAGGTCCTTTCAGACCCGGACTGGACCGGATCCAAAGTTTTATATTTTTTTTGGGCCCGGTTACACGTTTTTATGAACCCACTGCTGTCCAGATGAGAAATACAACAACAAGATATAACTGTACGTTGAGTTTTTTTCTGAGAATAGCGAATAAATAGCTGAAACCTTGATCCATCACTTGTTCGTGTACACAAAGGGTGCCAGATATTCATGGAAAAAACCTCGGGTTTGGACTCGACCGGGTTCAGGTTCGAGTTCGTGGTATTTTATCATTGTCATCACTTTTCTTCTTATAAATAAAATATTGGCGATATTTTTACTACTTCAGGATTTAATAACTGAACGAAATATGTTGGACAAAACATGCATTATTTCAATCGCATACAATTGGAATAAAAAATGATTTATCATATAAAAAATGAGAACAAACTGACTCAAATGTTGTTAACAAATTAGATTCTGACCATAGCACTTTTAATGATTCGAAAAACTTCTACAACATCTTTTAGTATTTTAAGAGTTCACGTGTTGAGCTTCTCCTGACGAAAATTTCTGCCGCCGCCGCTACGTTCTCGGTCTTCTCTTCGCTCATGATAACCGTGGTTGAAGTACTCAATATTAGAAACATTGTTTTCACCAATGAAAATCTTGTCAAATAGTAAAGAAACATAAGACAATATTAACCAATAAAAATTGACTTTCTATCCTCTTTTTATTCTCTATGAGCATGGTGCACGTCGCTACCATCAATTTAAAACGAATTTGATCCTTCATCATCATTCATTCATTGATTGTTTCTTGTTTGTCAAAACAAATCAATCTAATGGAGCAAATGGACACAACACAAACACTTTTATTAACAAGCAAACCTTGGTTTGTTTTTAGTTAAAATATTTAATTTAAATAGAATAAAAAAAAACAAAATCTTTGATATTATTTTTTTAGTACTATTCAAAATGAAAATCAAAGTAGTACAACAATTGATATGCTTAAAGATTGTTCACCATGTAATAATAAATTAATAAAAATCTCAGACAAACATGCAAAATTTTTAATAGAAAATTTAAATTTATTAAGAAAACAAAAAGAATTATGTGATGTTATTTTAATTATTGGACAATCTCAAATTCCTGCACATCGAGCTGTACTTTCTGGTAAATATTCATCAATTAAATCGAATAAATTATTAGATTTTGTTTTGTTTAGCATGTAGTCCATATTTCAAAGCAATGTTTACTGGTGAATTAGCTGAAAGTCGAAAAACTGAAATAATTATTCATGATATTGATGAATTTGCTATGGAATTATTAATTGAATTTTGTTATACTTCGAGAATTATTGTCGATGAAAAAAATGTTCAGATGTTATTACCAGCTGCTTGTATTCTTCAAGTAATAATCAATATTTGTTTCATAAGAAACAACTCAGAAAGAATAATTTATGTTGTATTCTATTGTTTTGAGAATGTTGATTTTACTCTGGGCTAAATTTTACATGCTTCAAATTATCTAATTCATATACGTACACGGTGCATGCTATATAGAGTAATCAAATAGGTTAAGATCAGGTAAATTTAAAGCTAAAGGATACAACAAATGTTCGTTACATTAGATTTTCGAATGTCTTTATCAATGTTTTGCAGTATACTTTGTTGAATAGTAGTGAGACAATTATAATACGTTAGAACATGTATCAAACCAAATTATAAATCTAACAGCATAACTAGATGAAAGAATTCAACACTTCCTAGAAACTTTGTATGATTAGATAATTTTCTAAGGCGATGATCAGATTTAGTGATTATCTAGCGTGGGGGGCGGCTCCCGGAAAAACAGGAATACCCTTCAGAGAGGTAATTACAATATCAGCTTCTCTCTAAGAAAATTTTTTCCTTACCTCCGACAACCGATTTCGTCCTCCTGGAATGAAAAATCTGAATACAGCTGAAAACGGTACTGTATACTGTCGCTTCATACAGCTTGCGATCGTGTCGTACATAACTGATAATGATTTGAAAATCAAGTATGCGATCATTTACAATACAGTGAAATACAATCGTTATATTACGTCTACCAAACGGCAAAAAAAAAACTAATAAGGGTTTCATTGACATCCATTTTGTTTTACCGATCTACTTCTAAAACACTTCTCCGTGAAAAATATTTATTAAAAAAACGGCAAAGAACGCGTTCATAAACGAAAAGAAACATGTTGAGTTTAAAGAAACGCATTCTTTGCTCTTCCACATTATTACGGAATACTTTCTTTTCAACTTGAAAGCCGTCTCTATCTAGATAGAAAGCGTTCTGAACCGTTCCATAAACCAATAGAATGAGTTTCTATTGATTCTTTTTTGAAACGGTCAGCATAGAGTTCTATCAAAATGAGAATGGTTTCTTTGAACTGATGAACATATTTTAGACATTCTAACGTTGTTCTTAGAAGAAAAAAGAATGTATTCTCCAGCGTTCCTCTAAATTGTTGAA